CTTGTGATATCTTATATCATACGGTATCATATTATATCGTATCTTATTATAACGTATCATAGCATATCATATCATATCGTACCATATCATATCGTATCATATATCATATGCTATCGTATCATGTATCATATCATGTCATATCGTATCATATATCTAATCGTATATCGTATCGTATCATATATTGTATCGTATCATATATCGTATACTTTCATATCTTATATAGTATCATATATCAGATCTAATTGTATCATATCTAAATGTAATATATATCATGCTGTATCATGTACTATATCCTATCACATCTTGTGATATCTTATATCATATGGTATCATATTATATCGTACCGTATTATAACGTATCATAGCATATATCATATCGTACCATATCATATCATATCGTATCATATGATATATCATATCGTATCATATCATATTAGACGAGTCCTCGATTATTCGAGAAATGTAAACTTTATGAATTATTTATAGATAGATTTAACGTAGTCAAAAGAGAAATCACGGATAATTGATGACCGCTGAACTGCTGTTAAAAATGAGAAGATAAAAAGAAGAAGAAAAAAAAAAAAGTTTTTCTTTCAGGTTCATTGAAAGTTGTTCAGGAAAAAATGGCAGTGGGGTGGGGGAGATCGAAGTTGATGTGAGTCATCTCTTCAATCTGGCAGCGTGTTCACAGGCAAAACAAATTTGACGGTAGCTTAGTGAAGAATAAAATTCGCCTTTGAAAATAAGTAAAAAAAATCATAAAAGCATAAAAGGTGACAATTTAGAGTCAGCCATTAAGAGGTAGACAAACTCGTTTTAGGATACAATCTCTGATGTGGAAAAGAGGCTGGCAACGGAAATAAATGGATGGATGCGCACGCAGAACATTTGCGCGTGCGCCCACGTAGATACAGTCACAGATACGGAGACATGCAAACGTTATAGGTGAATTTCCTTGCCTATATGGAGGCACATGTACAGTCGGTTCTCGGGCAGGTATGCACACACATGCCTAATGGCGTCAAAATTTGTATGTATAAATGCAAAGTAATGTCCGTAGGTATACCTATTTTATAATGAATTTAATGAAGCTAGGGCGACATTGACTCAGGACGCAAATTGAGAAGCTTGCAAATAGAAACGAACTCCCAATCTTTGTTTTGCAATACTACCGCACCAGAGCAAGTTTTACCAGAGAAACGGTCGTTAGTTATAAGATAAAAAGCAACATTAGTAGAAGGCCATTTCTGTGCAATTTACTATAAGAAAGCAAATGGCTGTCGATGAGATTTGCTGGGCACTGCCTGAAAAGAGTAAATATTTAGTTGACAAAATTCATTTTTTGGATTTTCCTCTGACAAAGGAAATTAGTAAGAATAGCTAGAATTAAAAAAAAACTAAACAAAGTATGAAGAAACAGGAAAATTTTAATCAAAGCAAAGACAAGACCGTACACCTGTAATGAAATGTCAATCCCCCAATATGACAGCAAATGCTGGATAATTTCCATGCAGATAAAAGGGGGACGATCCAAATGAGATGAGCTTTTGTTCATTAACATTTCTATGGGTGCATCCATTTTTTGCCTCGTACTATATATCAAACACTAATATTCCATGGTTATAATTTATTAAATTGGAATCGTAATCACAATCCAATTCATCAGGCCTACAAATTCAAAAAGAAATCAGAAAATATAACTCCGAGTATAAAAATCAAAATTTCAGTGAGGGTGTATGTGTGGGAGTGGGAAACAAGTGTGAGATGGAAATGTATGAAAGCTCTAGAGAGAGGTGTAACATAAGATAGACTAACAGAACATTGAGTTCTACCTGGATTATATCCTCGTGGAAATTTACACACACACAAACATATATATATATATATATATATATATATATATATATATTGAACAATAAAAAATATTAAAAACTAAAATCTTCAGACACACTGGGTTGTAGATTAATATTCTTTCGTTTTTATTATTATTATTATTTCATTTAGATTGCTCGACTAGTTTCGGCCAAAATGGCCATCATCAGGAGAAGAAATATTTCGGCTTACTGGTAGCAGTGAACTACAGAAATTAATGTCTTGATGGAGAAACTTAACTTTTGTCTGTAGTTTTCATTTGTTTTTTTTTTATTTTTTTATCTTTTTAACATGAATCTTTTAACATTCCTTGTGTTGGTCAAACAGTCTCTTTTAAGTTGTTATTTGAGATAAGAGCTGGATGGATCTATGCTTTTCTGAATTCCCTTGGTCAGTTTGACAGTTTTATTGGTTCCTGGAGAGGGGATGCGTCTCTGTTAAGTGTATGTATGTGTGTTATTTGGTTCTAAGGGAGTGATTTAGTATGATATGTGTAAGCGTGTATATTGCTGTGGGTGTGTGTTATCATCTGGCTCATTAGGGAATGAGTCAGTATGATGTGTGTAAGTGTGTATGTTCGTGTAGGTGTGTGTATAAGTGTGAGGCCTCAACACCTCTGTAACCATGTCTGTTTTGTGTGGGTGAGAAATGTGGCTAGGTTTTGATTGGTAGGGTTATATATTAATACTATCTATATTGTTAAATTTATGGTTTAGCTCGGCTGTATAGTGTGCTTTTTAAACTTATTTTCATGGAACTCTAAATTTCTTTCTAATTTTATCTGGTCTGAACTTTTCTGTTCTCTATATATATGTACTGACCAGTAATATTATCAATATATATATATTGATAATATTACTAGTCAATATATATATATATATATATATATATATATATATATAAACCCTAATATTATCAATATATATATATATATATATATTGACAACTAATATTATCAATAGATAGATAGATAGATCTTCACTAGACTATTATTTTGTTTTCTTATTTGGTTTGTTGGTATCTTAAGTATTAATTATGAGTGTTTAGATTTATAATTAAGTTTTTACTTAAGAATGTTTGAATTTATGTGCATATGTCTGTATTTATATGTTTGTGCATACACAGACCTGCACATTCTTAAATGTAAGTATATCGGTATACGCACGTGCACATATATGCAAATAAACGCGCGTACACAGTCACATGAACACTTACGTCTGTGCTTTGGTATTAATAATCTAGTGCTTGTGAAGTTGTTTTTCTTATTTTTAGGGTATTAAATATGGTTCTTTGGGTTTATAGAATTCTTTCTTTGTTGTCTGGATATACCATATTTAGGGTTCGAACTCTGACTTAAAGCATATCTCTCATGACAGCATCACGTATTCACTGCCGTATAGGAGTACTGACATTGCATGAAATTTGAGCAGTCTATTTTATTGTTTTCATAGAAGTTTTCCTGTTTTTAAACATTTTTTTTTTAGATTTTTTTTGGAAGCCATCTTTGGTTATGCGCCCTCGGATTTCTGTACCACATTTTCCGTAATCTATTCGTATGCAATATAAAACTGGTATAAACGTTTGTAAACGCACGCCTTTTTTCTTGCTGTTTTCAAACGAACGGATTTCTTTAAGTACACGGACTTAACAAGTGGTGCAGCATAAAAGGAAACTTAAATTGCAAACTCAACAGTGTATAAATAAAAATGCAGAACGAAAACATGCCGCTTTTAAGTCTATATAAGAAGGTAGGGAGTACGCATGAGCCAGTGTTTAAATTCACGTATGATCAATGCAGATTGGATAATGAAGACATTTTCACAAATGAACGCTGAACTGGGGAAGACAATAAAGTAGAAAGATGAAGAAAAAGGAAGAGTGGGTTGGAAGACAAAGGATAGATGATCAACTGTGAAAAAAAATGAAGAGGAAGAAGAAAATGGAGAAGAAAGCAATTGAAAGAAAAGAGAAAGAGTGAAGCAAAATAAGTAAGTAATAAAATAAAAAAGAGTTAAGGTGAAAGTGAAAAATAATGTGAAGAAGAAAAGAGAAAAAGAAGGAGGAAGGATAAAAGAAGGAAGTGACGTTGAATAAAAGATGAATGTTTAAGAGCAAATAAAGAAAATGGAAGAAAACAGGAAAAAGGGTCATTCGAATAGGGAAGAGAAAGAAAGCATAAAATTGATAATGGGAAAACGAAGAAGAAGAAAAGAAGGGGGATAAGAAGAAGGCAGGGGATGAGGAGAAAAGAAGAAGAAGAAGAAGAAGAAGAAGAAGAAGAAGAAGAAGAAGAAGAAGAAGAAGAATCGAAATTTAAGTAAAAAGAACCTGAAGAAAAAGAAGGAATGAGAGAAAGGAAATTTAAAAAAAAGGAGGAGGAGGAGTAGGAAGAGAATAAAAAAAGAAGAAGAAAAAAAAAAGGAAACAGAAGAACCTGAAGAAAAGGAAGAAATGAGAGAAAGGGAATAAAAAAGAAGGAGGGGGGTAGGAAGAGAAGAAAAAATGAAGAAGAAAAATTAAGAGAAAGGAAACAGAAAAAAACGTAAGAAATGAGAGAAAGGGAATAGAACAAAAAGGAGAAGAAAAAGAAGGAGGCAAATAGAAGAGAAATCCAAAATTAAGTGAAAGTAAATAGAAAATGCGATACAAGAAAAAAAAGAAATAACGTTTAGATATACCGAGAGAAAAATAGAATAAAATGGAATCACCGAAGTATTAACGAACACGTTAACGAATGAAGATGAAAAAGAAGAAGAAAAAGAAAAAAATAAGAAAGAAAAAAGAAAAAAAGTAAAAATATGGAGAAAAATCTAAGTAGAAAGGTAAAAGACGAAAATTAAAAGAAAAAAGAAGAATCGAGACAAAAGGTAAAGAAGTAAAGAAGTAAGTCATAGAAAGAAATAAAGAAAGAAATGAGGAAGAAGTGGAGGAGGCGAAAGAGAAGAAAAAGAAGAAGAAGAAGAAGAAGAAATGAAATTCAAGAAAAAAGAAAGAAATTTCAGAGAGAAAACTGGAAGAAAATGAAATCAGAACGAATAAGGAACACACTAACGAATGAAGAAAATGAAAAAATAAAAAGAAGAAATGAGAGAGAGATGTCAACATAAGGAACAAAAATTAAAAGAAAGGTCAAAGAAAAGAACAGGGAAAAAGAAGAATCGAGAGAAAAGAAAGAAAGAAAGAAAGAAAGAAAGAAAGAAAGAAAGAAAGAAAGAAAGAAAGAAAGAATATGAATATATCAATAAAAAAGGAAAACGAGAATGGAGAGAAAGAAAAAAGACGAGGAATAAGCAAATAATAAAAATAGGAAAGAGAGCATGGTGTTGGAGGAGATGCAAGAGGAGAAGTATGAGGAGAAAAGAGAAGAAAAAGAAGTAAGAGAAAGAGAAGAAAGAAATAAGGATTAACGGAACTGATAGAAGGGCGAAGAGAAATGAAAAAAAAAGTAATAAAAAAGAAAGAGGAACGGAAAAGAAAAGACGTAGACAAAGAATAGTCGAAGATGAAGAATAAGACGAGGAAGAAAGCGAACTGAAGAATACGGTAAAGCAGCGAATAAAATCATTGAAGCGAGACAATAGTATTAACGTGTAGCGTGTTCGGGCAGCTGAACAGCAGATTTAAAAAGTAGCGTCATTAAGGTACCTACAAAGACCGTCTGCTTCGCTGAATGCCGACAAGTATTTGGGTGTCCACGTCAATTTCCCTCCACTGTCTCCTTGTCGCGTTTTTATTTTATTTTTGTAATTTTTATTTCTTGTTATTAAATTAATAAAACACAGATAAAATCACTACAGAAGCACAAGGAATTCAGAAAAAAAAAGGAAAATTTATACGCATGCGCCCTGCGCGTACGCGCGCACACACACACATACACACACAGAAGATCAGGGAATGTATCGACGGAAATATGTACTCTACCTAACACATATTTTTCACTGTCATATTTTTAAGTAATCTTCTGAGGTATGTGAAGACGTTCTGTAACTTTTGTGCAACAGCTTTTATAACATACACACACACACACACACACGCACGAGCATACACACACACACACACACACACACACACATATATATATATATATATATATATATATAACTGTACATTGAGGTCAACACTCTGGTGTGTTGTTTTTACTTGACAATTTATATACGTTGGCCAGTGATGTATTATAGGTAGGTCTAACGGTTATTGGGTGGACGGTAATGTTTATGTTTCAAATTATTCTAGCGACTATAAGTGGAAATAATTGTGGATCCGAATGCAGATTTATGGCTATTTTATAGGGCTGTTTGTTAACTTCATTATTGATTGCTTTGTTATTTGTAATTGATTGTTATTATTAGGCTTACTTGTGTTTATGTGGGCAATCGTAGTTTTTTATCTTGTTTATTATTTAATTTATTTACTTATTTATTGTTTTAGATTAATTTATCGTACGTCAATATATATATATATATATATATATATATATATATATATATATATTTGTTCATTTTAGTTTTCGATTTTGAAGTAACAGTAAAAATTGGTTTTCGCGTTTGCATTTTAAAATGATTTCTGATCCTTTATTTAGTAATTTCTGCTGGTCAGGAAAGGTAATTATAAATTATAGATATTTAAACTTCCAGACAGAATTCACAATTTTTGGATTTTTTGTTGTAGTCTGATGCAATTTTCCCTTTTATCCATGATCTTTTTGGCGAGATTTGGTTTTTGTTTTTAATTTCCCATAAATATCTAGGAATCATTGTGCTTTTCCCGTATTTACTATTTGTAAAGGGTGTTTTGTGTGCGTAGTTTCTTTGTTTCCAGTGTCCTTCAGTTACTCCTATGCATATTTTTTCGTTACTTGCTAATTTTTCAGTGACTTGGTATATTACATTTCTGTGAGCAATCGGTGTTTAAGTGACACTCATCCATTGCTCTTTAGTTACACGTAGGTTTGATTTGTGCACATGGTTTGTTGTTGTTCTTGTATTTTGATCATATTCTTGGTGCAACTGTACATGCTTTTCCCTGTGTTTTTTGTTGAGTATCTTGTGGAGAGTGCTTAATGGAGGAGTCTTTGTGTTTGAATTTAATGAATATTTTCCTACGTTTGTTTTTACGATTTTATGTACGCTCGGTTGAAGAAGCTGATGTTTCTTTTCCTGTTGACTTTTTTAAGTGCGACACTGAGATCCGTAGACGTATTGGGATAACCAAGGACGCATTCCTGGGCAGAGTATTGCGATACAGGAGAATTTCTCTGGTAACAAAGAAAAGAACACTGAGCTGTTACGTGATATCTGTCCTTCTTTACGGCAGCGAATGTTGAGGAAAACAGTGCATAACCATCCTAACGAATTTGTGTAAATGGTTGGCAGAACAGTAATTAGGAAGGATAATGTTGTGGTGTCCTCCCTCTAAAGAGTATATGTTGGAATGGAAAAAATAACAAGGTTCACCAAACTTTTTTCCAACCACTGAATTGAACTTGTAGAAATCCTATTGTTTTGAAGAGTTTCTTTTTTTTTTTTTTTTCACTGTCAGTGTTGTAATTAACAATGGATACCCTTTAGTCGTAGAGTTTGGTTAGAATTCCTTTATTCACTACTGTTGTAGATACTGGATATTTTTCTTATGATTTACCGTGAAGTCCGTTTCTTCGAATCCTGCGTCGCCAAGATGTTGTGACCAAGTAAATGGTTTATAGAAATAACAAAACAAGTGTTACAGATATATAATAAACAGTAAGTACAACAGAAGAGTATTACACGACTAGTGAGTGTGTGTCGGTTGACCCAGCGTTCAATCTATTCGGCTGTTAATATTTAACAGCCCCCCCCCACCACCACTACCACCACAAGGGATGTATGTGACCCAAAGCCGAGTTTACCGTGGGTTCTCCGAGCTCGTAGGCTCGGACAAAAGTATTCCCGTAGAATCCGCAAAAACGGGTTCGGGTCTGTCTACCTCTCCGAACGAAACTCTGCCCTTCGGCACAGCCTCGTCCGGGTTCCTCTCCGCTCGAGGCAGAGAGTTGGACAGATGAACAATCTGGTCGACTGTTCCCCAAGGCCTTCTCTCCTACTAATTTTATAGTAGGCGGAAAAGTCCAACACAGACTCTTTAGAGGGAGGACGCCACAACAGATAATAAAAAGACAAAATTTACTAAGAGATACAAAGTACAGGACATTGTGGAGAGCCATGATCGCCAATGTCCTGAAGGGACACGGCACATAGAAGAAGCTGACAACTATTTATGTATTGTATAATCTATTCGCCTTTATAGTTACTCGAAACTTAAAGGTATTTAGTTTGATTTGCTTTATCTCCCAAGATTACCTCTTTCCTGTCTGAATTTAAATATATATGGTCTTAAGTTCAGCTATATATGAGTCGCTAATAACACAGTTGTGAGATAACTTTTAGCAAATGAAATCATCATGAAAGAAAATAAATTAGGTGTGTGGAAAAGTTTCTAGTTAAAAGACGGTTTTCAGCCTTTAATATAAAAGCAAAAGACGATCGCTGGAAACTAATATATCTTGTTCTTCTATATGCCGTGTCTCTTCGGGACGTTAGTGATAATGGCTCTCCACAATTTCCCTTTCCTCTATAGCATTTCATGAATTTTATCCTTTTGAATATATCTTTTCTTCGATTCTAACGAAAATTCTTAATACTTTGCTTAGCTTTTGGAAGGCATATTTGGCCAACCCAATACGTCTTCCGATTTTCAGTGTCGCACTCAATATCGCATTTTCCATCCTCTGTTAAAACACCTCCACAACTATTACATTCAACAATGATGTCAGGACCATTACTTTTTTAATACATGCAGACACCGTTGTCATGAGCATTCATTTTTAATGCACACACACGCATATATATATATATATATATATATATATATATATATATATATATTGTGTACCAGCAAAATTGTCGAATTGTTAGATTAAGATCTGAACCGTTTATCTTAGAAATGATTAATGATATCTTACTGGAATTGTGCGAGTTTTTATAACATTACTGGCCTATACTTTTTGCAGTAAGAATGTATAATTACTCTTTAATCGTAACAGATTTATCGTGATGAAATCTATCATAAACGAAAAATGACATCATTAATTAATCATAGCTAAGGATCGAAGGCTCATGAAGAATTTAAATAAAGTTCAATATATATATATATATATATATATATATATATATATTATTCCAGGATAATTTTCCAATTTATTCAAGATTACCTTCGCCCTCTCTATCCTTCTAACTTTCTGTTCTGGAGTAACAAGTTTCCTCACACGTTTCGCGTACATTTTCAAGTCTTTTTTCATTACTCTTCGTACTGTCATAGATGAAACTTCTTTCTCCCCCCTAAAAAAAAAAACAAAATAACACGTGAACTTTGAACTCCGAAATCTAGAAAGTTTCATAAACAGTAAAAACTAACAGTGAAATGTTTTAAATTTACAAACATATATAAATACTGACAGACAACTTAACCCCCACTGAAGATGGTCTCAGATGATATTGAAAGCACTTGAGAAAATAAAAAATATTTGAAAGAAAATTTTGGTATTTTTCTTAATCAGTTTTCTAGGGCTACCAAGAAATGAATCTGTGAAATTGAAAGGGACACAACTAATCGACATGATATATCTAAATTAGTTAACTAAACCTGTTTGGATGAAAATATGCTGCCTAAATATATATATATATATATAAATATATATAAAGAACATAATACATCCTCAAACAACTCTAAACCCATCGAACTACTATACCGTAATCAAATCCAATTTATGAACAAGAAGAAAATGTTCCAAGTCTCATAAACACTAATATATCCCCCACTGGTCCCAGTAAAAAAATAAAGTTAATTATATACTATACGAAATTTATTGCATCCAACTTAGTCATTCATAACTACTCTTCTCCGCAATCTGGGGTTTTACAAAATACCAACATGGTATATCAATTTAAATGTTCTTTTGTAGATTGAATCTCTGACAAAAGCGTTGATAATATGTATGTTGGTTTTACTACAACGACCATGACGAGAAGGCTTGCATTTCACTTAAATGATCATTGTTCAATGTCAGAGCATTTAAAGGAAAACTCATAGTTTAGACAGATATAATAGGAAACACAAATATGTTCCACTAAGATAATAATAAGCAAAAACTAAAAATTGCAGAAGATCTTTTTACAAGAGATTCATGGACAAAAATAAATAAATTCAACTTTAGTAATGGAAACCGAAAAGCTCCGTTCTTATTCCGGTTGAAAATACCTTTGGGAAAGTTATGAATCCATCTATTGTCTCTCCCAGCTATGTGTTAATCTGTAGGTCTTATATTAGTAAATCATTATTATCTCTAAAGAATTCCTACAATCGAAAAATATTGTATAGCTTTAAATAACATGAAAAAGGTTGATAAGCCGTAAAAAATAAGTCAATCAATTAAACCCATGGAATTAAAATCCTTTGTAATTGTCCTAACTATTGTGGTTCAATTCATACTGCGGTATTTATCGCCACCTCTTGTATTGAAGACGTATTTGAACAGGATTGTGCTCTCCACATCTGTACGTATTTGAGCAGGATTCTGCTCTCCACGTCTGTACGTATTCGAGCAGGATACTGCTCTCCACATCTGTACGTATTCGAGCAAGATTCTGCTCTCCACATCTGTACGTATTCGAGCAGGATTCTGCTCTCCACATCTGTACGTATTCGAGCAGGATACTGCTCTCCGCATCTGTACGTATTTGAGCAGGATACTGCTCTCCACATCTGTACGTATTCGAGCAGGATTCTGCTCTCCACATCTGTACGTATTCAAGCAGGATACTGCTTTCCACATCTGTACGTATTCGAGCAGGATACTGCTCTCCACATCTGTACGTATTCGAGCAGGATTCTGCTCTCCACATCTGTACGTATTTGAGCAGGATTCTGCTCTCCACATAGGTAGTCTGGAATGGTTGGATCAACATTTTTTACGATCATGTCACTTCCAGACAATTGGCTTCTTAGATCACTTTTCCCGCTTCTCATTCAGTAGCACTCTATATTAAGTGGCTCTTAAGCCTTTTAACTCTAGAACACTAACCATCAATTAAAGTTCCACCACTACTAACCATGCGTATATCATACCCGATTTTGAAAATATCAAAAAACATAATAAATATAAATCTTTATTTGAAATATTTTACATGCAGACACTTCAAACTTTGTACTTTGAGTTAACATTGATAGGAACTGAAAAACATATTATTTAGGTAAGAAAATCGGGTACTGAAAATTGTAATAAAAAATAGGAAAATTTGCGCTGGGTGCTATATACCGATGGTTAGTGTTCTAGGGTTAATGGGTGAACAGCAGCGTAAGGAAAGGTTCACCTGATTTAAATCTCTTGGAGTATTATATCTGAAAAAAATGTCAATATCAAGTTCTCGCTGAAGGCCGTAATCATGACCAAAACCCAAATGATTCTTTCATGCAGCTACTTTCACGGTAGTTCTCGAGGGTAAGCAAGGCCGCGTTGAATAATCTTTTTTTGTCTGTTTTCCTGACTTCAACATGTATAAAAATTATTTGCAAGATATACTGTTTTGTCTTTTCTGTTTAATATGTTTTTTTTTTGTTTTTGTTTTTTTTTCTGTTTAATATCTTTGTTTTGCATTTTATGATTATTATCTTTATTTTGTCCTCATATTACAATTTGTACTTTACCTGACACACTGGATATTGTCACGAAATTATGAGAAATGCCACAATACAAAAAAAAAAAAATAGAAACAAAATAATTGTTCTTCCGTTTCCAAAAGACTTAATTGTCCTACGTGTAAAATAGAGTCAATATTTTCGATTTATATGTTCCTTCCTTACTTCTGGAATATAGTGCAGAAACGATTTTTTATCGCATGATTGAGTAGAAATTTATAACTCAGTGGGTAATGAATACCTACATTAGCATTTAATTTGACTTGCAAATTGGTTGCACTCAAAGAAGCAGAAGGAAGCGATACAGACAAAGCATCGTAGAGACATTGGTGGGTTCGGTCTATGCTGGTAGCCCGCAGTAGTCAGAGGTCACTGTAGGCAGGCGGGCAGGCGCCCACGACGAAGCAAAATAGAAAGTAAAAAAAAAACAAAACAAAACAAAAAGAACAGAAATTCTTCACAGAGAGTATAATATTTATTATATGAATGAAAAATAAACGTCTACGAGAGAAGACACGCCTTCAGCACATTGAAAATATTATTACCGCCATTGCAATAGTTCGATTAATTTTTTATTCCTTCTTTCGACTGTCGAAGAGACCGACATTTTTGCATGCTCGATCAATACTGCATGCGACACTCACGCGAATGTATAGCCTGAAGCTAGTTTCCTAAGTTATGAATGGAATACATGTTCGATTCTTGTAGAGAGGCATAATCTCTATGATAATAATAATAATAATATTTTTTGGTCTCTAGGCCAGTAGATGTTAATTCTACTATTAAAAAATGGTGGGGAGTTGATTACTTTTTAATAATTTCACTCCAAACGGGGCAATAAATTTACTACGATGCAAGAGGTTACTAAGTGTGCAAAAATATGCGAAAGGAAAACATTAAGGAAAGATAACAATAAAAGAACAGGAATTAAGAAGACAGAAGATAACGATCAACATTGCATTTAAATTTTTAAAGGTCAAATTTGACTGGAAATCAAGAAAGTAGAAGAGAGTTCCACCAGCAAGAAGTGCGAGGGAAGAAACTATAAGCATAGAACTTACGGTTACATTTAGGCATTTCAACTGTAAGATGGTGTGACCTTGCCGCTAATTTAATATTAGCATAAATTCATAAATCTAGGTACAAAAGAAGAAAGCTCATCATAACAATTACCTTGAAAATATCCATAGAAAAGGCAAAGGGAAGCTACACTACGTTGGTAGAAAAATGACTGAAGCCGAGATGCCAGGTCAGGACCAATAATATTGTAGATTCTTCTTTGCATTTTATGAAAAATTTCTGCATATATAGAGAAAGCGCCAGACCAGATGCGATAAGAATATTTAATGCATAGTCGAATGGTAGACTTATAAATGTGTAATTTAGATTTCGAAGAGAAAGATCGTCTAGTACGGCAGAGTGAACATTCCTAAAAGTAGATTTAGTAACTGATTCAATATCATCTTTCTTCAAACACATACAGCTACGAAACACATACAGCTACGAAACACATGTAACCACGAAACACATGTAGCCACGAAACACATGTAGACACGAAACAGGTGTAGCCACGAAACACATACAGTCACGATACACATGTAGACACGAAACGTGTAGACACGAAAAACATGTAACCACGAAACAGATGTACCCACGAAATACATGTATACACGAAACACTTGTAGCCACGAAACACATGTAACCACGAAACACACATAGACACGAAACACATGTAGCTATGAAACACATGTAGCCACGAAATACATGTAGCCAAGTTTATAGCAAGAAATAATACCGGATTTAAAAAAAAAATATTCATTAATTGCCTAAAAATTATTTTTTCATTGCGGATACTGAAATAAGTTGTGACGATATACAATTCGAACGTTCTCAACAAATGATGCGTATTTCTTTAACCTTTTGCCTGTCGAGGGTATTTTTCTGTGTACTTTTTAAACGTTCATACTTGTTTTCAGGCTTATAACTATTTTAAGGCAACTAAGCCTATTTGGCAAATAGAATGTGCTGATAAATAATGTTTCACATAATAAAAACCTGTGCATCACCTGTGATGCACAGAACATACAAATAGTAAGTTATTTACACTGCGTTCTGTACATTACATGTGATGCAAAGGTTATAATCATTTCAATAAAGTAGAAAAATAGGTGTCTTTCATTTGAGACCTTACCTTATTATTTAGGCAACCTGTGGTCAATAATGATGCGCAGAATATTAGATTAGGCATTTCCTCAGACGTTCTGCACAGTAGTATATTCTTTTCTTAAGCGTCCTTAGTTTTACTACTCTTAAAATCATGGCTCGTGTGTATCACATATGATTCACGGACGTGTAAATCAAATGTCCTTTGCATTACATATGAAACGTAGGACAGGCAAAGTGATAAATAGGAAAACTGAGTTTGACTGTTTTTTTTTACCGGTATATCAACACCTCTACGGGTTATTTAATACTGATATCTAAATATTTTGAATACAATTTTATAGCTTCAACTACAGATATTTTGTAAATAATTTTATAATTTCAGGGCAAACATATTTTTTTTAGATATATAGGTTGTAAATGTATTACTGGTAATTTTAGAAGTAACAAATATTAGAAAGGAAACAATAAGTAGTAATATATATATATATATATATATATATATATATATATATATATATATATATATATATAAACATATTTCTAATCATATATATATACATATATATACATGTATATATATTTGTATATTTAGGCAGCAATTTTTCATATATATATATATTGTCATCTACTGACAGATTGCTTTTTCGCTGTATCACAGCTCATCAGTATGGCTAGACATCCGATTGCTTCAAGCCGGGATCGAACCCGGCTGATTTGGTATCCATCGGAGATTCTAAGCTATTGGCACCCGGCAGACATGAAGGTGAAATTTAGCACACACGCAGACACACACACGCAGACACACACACACACATATATAAAAGTGAACATAGAAGTCAATACTTAGAGGCGACAGTCTGTTTCAGCATGATATTGAGCACTTTATCCCATAAATATAGCACATCTTATGACTATATTTCTTCATATATATATATATATATATATATATATATATATATATATATATATATATTGTAAAATATAACAGACAACGAATGTCTATTATGTTTGGTAAGATCCGTTCTAATCTTAGTACAGTGTTTTGGGAGAAAATTATAACAAAAAAATCTCCATCATTTCGATATATTATTAAAATGCTGTACCTCGATCTAAGCTTTCGGCTCACGTGAGTGGCTATATGAACATTACAACTGGGATGTTCAAAGAAAAGAAAAATAGTTTCCATGCCCGATGATGACCGGAAAACCTGTCGAAAGTACTTGCATATTTAAGGAAGAACTAATACAGTTTATAATTTAAAAAAACAATGATCATAATATTCAGTATTGAGTAGTTAGTGGGTTAATGCATTTTTAAAATTTAGTTAGTGAAGTGAATTCGCCATTTTATATCTATAACTTTACTAATTTACTTTTTGTATGAATGATTTATTGTAATATAATCAGTACAGACGATGCGTAAAAACCCATTGGGTTATAATTTATTTCATGAATATATAAAATATTCATCTCTTCCGACCGAAGTTTTTTAATAAATGGAGACAATTTCTCCAGACAAAGGGAAAAGGGAGAGAAAGAAAAATGGAAATAAGGAAAGGGAAAAAATTATATTAGATGAGGAAAAAGAGAAAGAAAAAATTCAATATAAGGTTTTTAAAAAATATGGGGGGAGGGAAGAGAGAGGGGAAAGTTAGAGAGAGGGGAAAGAGAGAGATAGTGAGGGAAAGAAAAGAAAGGAAATAAGGAAGAATTAAACATAAGTCGATAGGGTGACCCAGAAAGGATTTTTTCATGTATATGAATGATAAGATAAGAAACTAATAGACGACGTTTATAAATTTAACATGTTTCACTTTTATTAAAGCTTCAGTTAAAAACTAAATATGGAGGAGAAAAGAATATTATGTTATTTTTATTTTGTGTTGTTTGTTTTCATTAGCTAAGCAAAAAAAAAGTAAAAATACCAGAATTTTCTTTTCTCCGTTGACTTTAGTCTAAGGATCCCTTGGCC